TCATTTTCTATTCTGTTAATATGACTTCAGTTTCAGACAGTTTCTTTTCAACACACTCCTGTTAGTATATTTGAATTATCTTTACCATAATATTATTTCAGATATCAATGACATTATCTTATAAATTCCATATTATGATGGATGAATTGTTTTTTGGAATAGGCATATATAGTGATCTCTTCCATGCAGTTGTCCAGGTAGCTGTCTTCTTAATTTCTTAGCATAGGTGAATGAGTGCTTCCAGCATTGCATGCATTCATTGAGACATTGTAATTGGTATTCCATAAATTCTTAGAGCATTGTATTTCATGAATGACTTCAATGCATCTTGAACTTCTTCCTTTAATGTCATCAATTCTTAATCACATACTACATCCTGAATTGGTTGAACATCCACACAATCCTTTTGGTACAGGGACTCTGTACATTCCTTTTAATGTTGATGCTCCTTGCATTGATAAATATCTTGTCCATAGAATTCTTGAACATTTCAGCTTAAGGCTTGACGATTTTCTTCAGTTCTTTCAGTTTGAGATATGCCAAGCATGTTATTCCTTTCTGGTTGACTAAATCCAGATCTTTCTCATCGCATTGTAATAGTTCACTTTATCTTTTCAAGCTTCCCTTTTGAATTTTCTGTTCATCTTCTTGATGCCATCATTTCTTCTGTTCCCTTACATACTGTTCAATCAAAAGCAAGATTTAGATTCTATTCTGATATTCATATATTTTTTAATGAAAAGAACAGAAGTGCTAGACAAGGTAGTTAAATTATTACTGGAAGATTGAAACTTCTCATATCTTTGAAACAAAATTTGAAGTACAACTGGAATTATGAGGGGATACACAAAAAGAACTGGAAAAATCTCCACTCGGCAGAGCTTTTGTAGTATGCATTTTCCCACCTAGACGAGCATTGAGCAACTCTCTCTGAGTTAGTGCACCCAGTGGCATCACCCGGGAAGGTTCTCTGTGATCACAGTGAATTTTTTGGTACAAGCCATTTCACTCAAACCTCATATTTTGTGATGGCTGATTTAAGAGAACAGAGTCCAGCTGTGAAATTTTGTTTCCTGCTCTGGAAAAATGCCACAAAACTGTTATGATGTTGAACACAGTTTACAAGGATTGTGCTATGGAAAAAACTCGTTATGAGTTGTCCTCTAGTTTCAAAAAAGGTGAAATGTCAGTTGATGACAAACCTCATTCTGGACATCCATCAACTTCCCAAACAGACAAAAGTGTCCACTCGTAGTGCATTTGGATTTCATTCCACCAGGTCAGACAGTTAATAGAGCTTTCTATTTAGAGGTTCTGCACAGATTGTGTAACAGTGTGTGACAAAAAAAGGCCTGATTTATGGCAGATGGGGGACTGGTTTTGCTACCAGTACAATTAACCTTCTCATGCAGCCATCTCAGTGAGCCAGTTTTTGGCATAAAACAGCATGCATCTTTTGCCTCACACACCTTACTCATCTGACCTCATTCCCTGCCATTTCTTTTTGTTTTCATGAAGAGGGACATAAAAGGACAGTGATTCGACGACATAGAGGAGGCGAAGCAAAAAAGAATGGAGGTGCTGTCAGCCATCCAATCCAATAAATTTGAAAAATGCTTCCAAGAATGGAATCGCAAATTTTACAAATGTATTAAGTGTAATGGAGAGTACTTTGAAGCTGATAAGGCTGTTACATAAAAACATTTAAATTCATAACTTTGGAAAAAAAATCCTTTTTTTTTTTGGTACCCCTTTGTATTTGACTCTAAAACCATTCTGGGATGGGACATTTCTCAGGAGCCATGTCCTCAAATTCATTAACATGAAACTTGGAGATGTGGATTTTCTGGTGACCAGGGAACTTGAACTTGGCCCTTGTAAAGCCTCATTCACATGCTCCTTGTTTTGAAGCTTGGTGCGATGGACATGAAGAAAGACCTAGCTAATTGGTCCCCAGGGACTGTGACTTGGGGTTTCCCCAAAGCACCTTATATCCCAGTTTAGATCTTAGGTTAGGAACAGTAGAAATTAGCCTGACCAGAGTCTTCAAACAGCAGCCAAAGGCCATCTCCAAGGTCCCTTAGAGTAGCCTATACATGCTAACAGGTTGCATGTATTACCAAAGAGGCTGGTGTTCGAGGCCATTGAACACCGGCCCCAGTGAGATGGAGGGTGGCCCACTTAATTGGCTGTAGATAAACTAAAACTAATTTTCTTTCAGATAAGAATGATTTCCCTTTTTACTACACTAAATATCTACTTTAATGCAACAAACAAACCAAAACAATCCTCAAACCAAACCCACTGCCATCAAGTCAATGCTGACTCATAGTGACACTTGTAAGACAGGGTGGAACTGCTCCTGTGAGTTTCCAAGACTGTAACTGTTTCCAGGAGTAGAAAGCCTGGTGTTTCTCTTACTGAGCTGCTGTGGTTTTGAACTTCTGACCTGGAAGATCTTAGCCAAACATGGATCCACTATTAAATCAGGGCTCCACTTTAATACCAGGACTTGCAATTAAGGCTTCAGTAAAAGGTATATATTTGTATATGATAAGGTATTTTTCTACTCATTCAAATGAACATTATTAACAACAAGAAAGCAAAGATGGCAAGACTTTTGTCTTGCATACTTTGGATGTGTTAGCATACACTAGTTCCTGGAAAAGAATATCGTGATTGGTAAAGTACAAGGTCAGTGGAAAAGAGGAAGACACTTGACGAATACAGTAGCTGCAACAATGGACTCAAACATAACAGTTGTGAGGATGGTGCAGGACTTAGAAATGTCTCATATTGTTGGACATAGGGTTGCTATGAGTCACAACTGGAGCAGTGAGTCATGGTGGTTCTGTGCTAGAATTCTTGTCTTACATGTGGTAGAGTTGGGTTTGTTTCCCAGCCCATTACCTCAAGTGCAGTCAGCAGCTGTCCACCATGTGGCTATGATGAAGAACAGGTTTTAGTGTAGCTTGCAGGCTAAGATGAACTAGGAACAAAGGCATGGTGATCTATTTCTATGGATTAAAAGAGTCTGTTTCATCACTGACCTTGGAGATTATGAAGGACAGGGTAGTGTTCCATTTCATTGTGCATGGGGCTGCCATGAGTCAGGGGCCAATTTGAAGACATTTTACAATATGGAGAACATACTAATAACTCGTTTTAGACTTAGTATGAAATAAGAATTTCCTTCTCAGAACCCCCACAACACCAATCCTGTTGTAAGAGAATAAGTCAAAAAGTATTGCTACTAGAATTCCAGTTCATACGTATCTGGATTTATTCCAAATAAAATGTACTGAAACATATATCGGCAATCAGTGAATGACCACAAAAGAGATCTCTCAGTCGTATGCTTGTTTTAATCTCCTTGTGGTGTCTTCAACAAAATATTCAGTCAAAACAGTAGTTTCTAGTGGGATCTGTTGAGGAAATTAAACTCCAGGCAGAGATGCTAGCTCAGAAGATAAGAAGGGATTTCAAAGTGAGTATGATTATGTAGTAGATAATCTCAAGACACAGAACAATTATGAACATTTATAAGGAAGAAGGTTTTGAAAAATTGAAAACTGCATTGGTGAGAAAATGGCCAGGAGCATTGCACTGAGGAATTTTCCCCTCCATTGTAAAAATGGACCTGGTTTTTTGGAAACCTTACCACATCCACCCTACATCCCTGATCTTTCACCTCTGGAATTGTTTTGTTCTCCCAACTAAACAACATTTAAAAAGAAAATTATTTGGGTTCCTTGAGGATTTTGATGCAGTACACATTGAAGTGTCCAGAATTTGGGGGGTAAGACTAGAGAGATGGAAACCCTACCACCAGATGTATAGGAGGATCTATTAAGAAAAGCTTAGCTTCATGTTTTGATATTTTGTTTAATAAGATTTCTTTGATTTTTAGAAATACTTTCTGACTTACCCTCATATATTTTTGGATACACAGGCTTTACCTTCCTTAAGAATAGAAACCATATGCATAGGTATGGTTATTGTTGTGCATCATTAAGTTGATTCTGATTCATAGCTGCCTTATGAGACAGAGTAGAACCGCCCCATAGAGTTTCCAAAGCTGACATGTATACAGAAGTAGACCGTCACATGTTTCTCCCATACATGGGTATCTCACTGTCACCAAGTCAATTCTGACTCAACGTGACCCTTCAGGACAGCTAAGCTATGGCCCTCTGGATTTCTGAGATTGTAAATCTTCACAACAGCAGAAAACCTCATCCTTCTCTTGTGGAGCATCTGGTGGTTTCAAATAACTGACCGTGCACGTAGCAGCCCAGTATGTATAGATCTCAGTTTACAAACTAACACAAGAAAGATCATCCTTATTACCTTTTAATTAACCCAATTCTGACCTGAAACCTTATCTCACAGCTGACGAACAATTCCATTAACATTGTCTTTGCTGCCCTCTTTCCTCACATATTTACATCAACATTTGAGAAGCTTGTTTCCCATATCAGAAAATAAAGAAAAGCTGAATTATTTTCAGCTAATCCTGTCTGTTGCTAACACTCTTCATGAGACCTTGAAATATATCTTCCCTCTGTTTCAGTATCTAGTTTGGGATGTTTGCTGTTGTTTGAACTCTGATATATATCACCTTATGTATCTCTCAAAGGAGCACACTTCCTCAGGCCATTGCATTGATGAACTCTATGGCTTTCCAAGCCTCCAAATCTCTCTGTTCAGCATAAGCAATAGCCTTTTATGATTTGCTTACTTCACAGATGTATTTTCCTCAAAATATAAGTCTCTGAAGTTCTAGAAACTTATTTCTACCTTACCATAGATTTCCCAGAGGAATGGAAGCCAAATGTGATGATGTCTGTAGAAGTAGGGTAGATGCAAATTTAAAAAAATAAGATACTATCTCAATGATTCTTTTTCTCAAGAGTTTAAAATAACTAGAGGCTTAATTAACAGTTAAAGGTCATCTCACTATTATATGAGTGACCTAACACATTTGAGTGAAAAATTCAATGATCTCTTACTTTCATTGCTCCACAAACTTTCTGAAACATTCTCTTATAATGAGTACGACAGCCTCATCAGGTCCATTTCCAAGGAAGTAAGAGATAGGAAATATATATATATATACTCCTTTAAAATATAACAAAAGCTAAGGGCCCATTTATTTTTGTTTATTTATTTATACACTGTTTTTAGTTAAGCAGGGGAAAAATCAGCACATGTTTCAAAGAGGCAGACATCACAGTAGCCTTAGTAAAAACGAATTTTATTTCAAATTTTGCTTACCATACCAGCTCTTAGAGAAAGTGAACAATTACATTTTGAAAGTAGGAACAAAACACCAACAAACTCTAGACTCAGAATAGGTATAAGCCAATAAATTAGGCATTGTTTTCCTTAAGTTTTAGCTTTAATGTAAAGATAGTTTATTATTTAAACAATTACTATCTGAATATTAGCATAATAACATAATTTTATGTGAATTAAAACCAGTATTTCAGAATTTCCAAATAGTCTTTAAATTTTTCCAATATGGACATAAATTAAGCCGTATTCATCTCTACATATTGAATGTGAGACAACTGTCACAATATATTAGCATTTTCACAGGAAGAATTTTAAGGATTCTGGCACATAGCATGGGTAATATCTGTGGCACAATAATGTCATTATTATATTCAGAAAACATTTGAAATTCTCTTTGTATATTTTAAGTTCTAAAGATTTAAAAACAAAATGTTCTGTGTTGATAAAAAATTAATAGGCAATATGTGTGTGTGTGTAAAAAACTCTCATTCTTTTGATATTAAATGCCATAGAAAAATCCTTGTATGTTAATAGACAGTATATTAGTACACATCTGAATATACACTTGCAAATATTCTCCATTAGTAGGAAGTCACTCTGTGAAGTGCAGTATATAAGGGAACATCTAATAGCCATCCCAAGCATTAGGAGGTGTGGAATGGCTGACTCTGGACTTTCTGTTCACAGATATACGATGGAATAGTAACTCTTTTCCATTTCGGAGCAGCCTTTCCAGAGCAGATTGTAGTCAGCAAACTCTGTTGACTATATTCTGGATCAGAGCTTTGGAATGTTAAAGAATTTTGTCTCTTAAGGGTGAGTGATGGACAGACAGTTGGAATGGAGTTGGAAATTCTGTTCATTATGCACAGAATTATTCTCCTTATCAATCACACCAAGTTGTGGGACGTCCACATATTGGCTGACAGAACTAGTCTTCTTGTCCTCTGTGTTGGTTGGAGATTGTGTGGAGGTACCCTCATTGGATGACTCATTAGGAACAGTACCGGGATCATTTATTTTGATACTCAACTTCTGGCAAGATGACAGACTAGGCAGGCGTGCTACTCAGACCCTCCACAACAATACCTCAGAAACCAAATGAAACAGATAAAAACAATAATCCTGAAAGCCTATCCTTCAAAGGAAAGGATAAAGAAGTAGATCAAATGCTAACTAAAATAAGAAAAATGAGTAAAAAGTGCAAACAAGGGAGATAGGGGGTGATGAATTGTTAATAGCCAGATACAACATGACCATTTTAAGTTTTGCTCCAATTGGGCATAAATCTGATCACTGATTCTACTCACATACGGTTGAAAAAGATGCAGCCCACACAGATATTCTCTTTCAGTGAGGGGATGCTTTAAGTTGACCCTGGGACCTGCTCTGATATTCAGCTCCAGTAAGGACTAGGACTCAAGTTTATCCACTGGGATGGAAATGAGATGGTGGTGGGTGGACTGTGGTTCTTGAATATTGTCTTTTCCCTCCCTTTGTGTCAGCTGTTTTGGCCATGGGCCTATACCCTCTGACAACTCCAAAGGCTGACCTTGAGTCAAGGAACTTGACAGGAAAGAGTAACCAACTTTTGTCTGTCATCAGTTCCTGCTTGGAATCCCACAATCCAGTAACCCTTGAATCTTCACCAGCTACAACTACTATAGAGAGACTATTACCCACTCTAACGCAATTTGACTAACAAAGACAAACATAAAAATGTCTCAGAAATAACTGGCACTTTCAGTGCACCTGATAAGGCAAGAAAACATGGTAAACTTGAATGGCCATTATACAGACACATTCATGGGAGCATTTTCAGAGGAAGAAAATGCAGTAAAGCTGCCCATGAGGGAAATCAGAAGAATGATGCTCTACAGCTTTAAATATATGTGGA